TTTAATTAACACAATAAATGAACTTCGTATTATCTTTTTTTAAATCAAATAAATGTTGACGTGAAGGATGTGATGTATACATCATACTATTTGTTGACGCGAAGAATTTGATGTATACATCATACTGTTTGTTGACGTGAAGAATTTGACTTATACATCATACTATTTGTTGACGCGAAGAATTTGATGTATACATCATACTGTTTGTTGACCTGAAGATTTGATGTATACGTCAATTTCAATGACCAGTGACTTGACCGGTAAGTCTTTGTATATAATAACATGAATACCCATTTCATTCTCATATGCTATGACTGAAGAGGATGTATGACTGGAAGGCTTATCTTCGTGAACCTATACCATTTACATACAAAGTCGGTTCTAGAATACTGGTCTAATAGTAAATAGTGTTTACATTGACCTTTGTTTACACTCTCCTGATTCCTAACTTGCCCTTGGCACATTATCGATTGCCATGCTGTGAACCACTTTTGGAAATATTTTCGCCCATTGACCTGAAGAAAATGGCACGGGATTTGTTGCAGTTATTAAGGTATACATATGTTTCGTCGAATATCACTACGTACTGTCATTTTTTTCTCAGTTAGGTACCCCTTGTGGTATAATCAGGTGAAACGAATTAACTCGAGAGTTATATAATGGATAAGTACACTAAAAAAGAACAAGATACAGTAGTATGGAACAATACTGAATTTTTACTGGATGAACTTAAGTATAGGAATAACAGGACTAAATTAAAAGTGTAAGACACCACGAACACAATATTTATTATTTCAAATTCAAAAATACAATGTGTGCACTTGCGTGGAGAAGTCGACGATCGCTTTTATTGGATCATTGTATGGCACTTGAGGCTTTCTTCTTTCGGGATGAATTCCTGGAGAATTGAACATGTTGATTACAAAGTAGAAATGTTTGAAAACGAATATTCCAGCTCACTAGAGAAACCCAGTTTTCTTTGTCTTGGCACCACGTGACCGATCACTTTCTCAAAAGATTTGACGACTGAGAATTACAGGGGTCACCCAGTGGCTATGAGGATTGAGAAGTTGTTATATATATATATTTCAGACCACATGGCCAAAAATAGAGTAAAACTTCGCACGAACGCACACACATAGTTACTAATCAGTCTGAACCACTTGATTCTAAAAATAAAAACACATTCTTTGCTTTCCCCAATAAACCAGGCGTGGCATGGCCAGGTGGTTAGGGCATTTGACTCGCAATCTGAGGGTTGCAGATTTGAATACCTGTCCCATCAAACATACTCGCCCGTTCAGCCGTGGGGCCATTATTATGTGATGATCAATCCCACTATTCGTTAGTAAAAGAGTAGCCCAAGAGTTGACGGTGGGTGGTGATGACTATCTGCCTTCTCTCTTCCCTTCCACTGCTAAATTAGGGACGGCTAGCGTAGATAGCACTCGTGTAGTTTGCGCGAAATTCAAAATAAACCAAACCAATAAACCACATTATTAGCGGTAATTAAAACCAAACCAATAAACCATATTATTAGCGGTAATTAAAACCAAACCAATAAACCACATTATTAGCGGTTATTAAAACATCAGATTAGACAGAAAGATTTTGTTTGTTTGTTTGTATTTAAGCACAAAGCTACACAATGGGCTATCTGTGCTCTGCCCACCACGGGTATCGAAACCCGGATTCTAGCGTTGTAAGTTCGCAGACATGCCGCTGTGCCACTGGTGGGGCAGACAGAAAGATTAGATGAAAATAACAAAAAACATGAAGTAAAATGAATCGTGCCCGTCATGATCCAGTTTTGTAATTATATTGTATTTTAAAAGACAAATGGTAACATTAGTCATTTTCAGATTGTGTATGATTAAATATTAAATATCCGCAAGAAAAAAATGCTGTTCGTGCAGTTTTCCAAACACCCGTTTGACAAAATAAAGCTGCTATAAGGGTGGATTTGTCATATAGCAACGGAGGAGGCGGAACTTTCCTGTAAGCCTTGGCAATTCAGGCTGCTATTGGTTTTATAAGTATGGGAGGAGCAATTGTTTTCGCCCAGAGATCAAGGGCGTGGAATGAGTGATTATTTGTGATGACAAATTGGACTCTCCCTACTGTCACAGTAGTTAAATATGATCTCACTAGGGGGCGTGTAGAAAACACTATATCTGTGGCTATAACTTCACTAGTGGGAGTGAGGAGGTGATGATAGGGACAAGCTGGGAGCATATAAAGTGCTTTTTAATGATTCTGTTATGGTTAACAGTAACGGATTTAAGTACACAATATTAACAACCACTTATATCTATAATCTTGGGATCTGTATGCAGATACTAATCTTCTGAGCATTTTACCTCTATAGCTGACTATAAAGACCTGAAATTCTCCAAATTGTATTTACCTGAGAAATAATAAAAGAGAAACTAAGTTGTCACGCGCTGTTTCTTAGTCTATTGAGCTACATATCTGAACATACTAGAAAATGTACAGAGAAACTAAGTTGTCACGCGCTGTTTCTTAGTCTATTGAGCTACATATCTGAACATACTAGCAAATGTACAGAGAAACTAAGTTGTCACGCGCTGTTTCTTAGTCTATTGAGCTACATATCTGAACATACTAGAAAATGTACAGAGAAACTAAGTTGTCACGCGCTGTTTCTTAGTCTATTGAGCTACATATCTGAACATACTAGAAAATGTACAGAAAACTAAGTTGTCACGCGCTGTTTTTTAGTCTATTGAGCTACATATCTGAACATACTAGAAAATGTATTGTTCTTTTCGCCAAAGTAGCGTTTATTTCATTAGCTTCACCTAGATGGCGGGACGGCACTGAGGCAATAACAAAGGGTTGTTTAAATCGTAACATCATAAATGAATAAAGTAAGGATTTACAATCCCCGTGGAGCATACTCGAGAACTCCTGGAGGTTTCACGGTGGAGTTGGAAAAATATTGTTGTGAACAAACAAAGATATAAATATAAGATGCTTTATTGTTGTTGTGAACAAACAAAGATATAAACATAAGATGCTTTATTGTTGTTGTGAACAAATAAAGATATAAACATATGAATATGTTTATCTCTTTGTTTGTTCACAACAACAATAAAGCACTTATGATTATATCTTTGTTTGTTCACAACAATAATAAAGCATCTTATGTTTATATCTTTGTTCGTTCACAACAACAATAAAACATCGTTCACAACAACAATAAAGCATAAACAAAGATATAAACATAATATGCTTTATTGTTGTTGTGAACAAACAAAGATATAAACCTAATATGCTTTATTGTTGTTGTGAACAAACAAAGAGATAAACATATGATGCTTTATTGTAAATATATTTTATGATCTTTCTAAACTGTGTCTACTGAGGAAAGAATTCTCCTTTCCTATCCTTGAAAAATATATTCAGTATACTTTAGAAAGAGAAAGCTCACTGAAGACATGAGTCCTGAATGATCATTTTCATAATTGACATCAAACTATATACAAAGCAATGAAAGCTTCTGATTCCTAGCATATCTCAAGGAATGTTAGACAGTTTCTTCATAGTTTTAGATTTCTTGAAACAGCATAGCATCCTAAACTTCTTCGTTTTGAAATTTTTAGATTGAATTACTCATGTATTGCAGTGTGATGGTGTAGAAAACAAACAAACATTTCTTTCGTAAAAGACACTTTCAGTTTTGTCATGAGAACAAACGATTTACACTAAGCTGTATAGCATGTAATTCTATGTATTTGTCTATCTGCAATCTATCTCAGGTAGGATAGATCAGGCTAATGTATAATTGTGTAAACATTCTTTGAATAAATTTGATTTTATCACACATTTTATTGAATTACAAATAATCACGGATCTTAAGCAATGAAATGAAAGTGTAAAAACATAAACAAGCTATGAGTATGGGAAAAATATACATTCATATAGCACAAATGCCGGACATTGATGTATACAGGTATGTGTATATTTGTGATATTTACTTACAACGAGTATTAATTTAACTCTTTTACACCTACGTACACTATAGATTTTCATCATTTTAGGTTTAAAATAGCAAGAATCCAAAAATTACCGTATGATCAAAATGAGAAATTTTCTCAAAACAACAACAACAACAACAAAAACTACTCCAATTGTTTTTCTTCTCCTTTGTGCAAATGATAAACAAAAAGGAACATTTAATCACAGAGCAAAACTTATCTTGAATAAATGGCTGTCATTATGTTATTACACGGTAGTTTCAATATTTTAGCAATTACATCTTTACTCATTACGTGTATGAAATCATTTCCGGATCTTACTTATCTGATAACACCATAAGTTCATCTATGCCAGTAAGTTCGGCCAGCAATAGGCTTCTTATTAGAACCACAAAAATGTGTTCCATATTAAATTCTATTAAGTAATTATACACACTGTGTTTAGATTTTGAGTGGTGCAGTGTAGATAAAAATGGAAAACATTCTGAGTCGAATGAGAGTCCGTTTATTGAGAGGATATTTTCAGCCAAAGACACATGTATGTAATTTAATGTGTTATTCTGCACACTGAAGATATTTTGGTTGATTAATTGATTCGTATGAAATAACATGTTATCCTCGAAACTTCGTTACTTTGTACAGAATAAAGAAAGCAAACTGTTGCACTACAGTTTGAGACGGGAGCAGAGCCACCCCCTGCCTCGTTTGTTTCAGTCTTACGTAGTGAGATCAAGGTGACAAAACAGAGGTGTCTTGTAACGAAGGAGAAGCCTTTTCGTCCAGCTGCTGCTTCTATGCGAGAGTACGGAGAAATACAGTCCGATATCTATGTGAGAAGAAACACGGGCCTACACAGATGTTGTGAAACAGCTAAGGAATAAGGCAGCGGGACAAAGTGTTGCAAGAGACATTCTGCAGATTGAGGCAGCTGAGTTAATACCAAGAAGCAGTGATTTGCTGAGCTATCTTTCCTGTTGCGTGTAATTAACCTGTCAGACGGTGATGTAGTTAGTGCCATTCTTGTACTGTTTCAAGATTTTACTTACTTTTCTGCGATTGTACCATTTAGATAGATATCCTGGTTAGTGGAGGCGGAGCTTGAAAGTACACGCGTGTTTTCTTCTCCCCCTGATACACAGTTGGGGATGCAGTTGGATCTAAATGCTGTCGTCTTCAACCTCGGGATAAATATGTATAACCCGTTAGCCCAAAAGACCTGCGAGTTTACCATTGATTCCTTGATGACTGAAGCTACATCAGACCCTTACCTCGCGATAACAGACCAGCAACCTAGCCTGCCTACGTTAGGACTGGCAACAGGTACCACCGTTCATACTTCCGGGAACTGTTACTATGGCTGGGCAGGCTCGCCTCTGCAAACCTCCCCGGTTAGTCTCAATTCTAGATCCCCGGTCAAAGACATGGAAGGTAAGGACATATTTGCGTATGACACCTTTACCTAGTTATATTCTTCTAATAAAGCGATTTGAGAACTTGTCAAGACTTTTCTGGACGACAGAAATAAGTTAACTAACCACAACTTAATATTTTCAGTGTTTTAGTTTCTACACAGCGGTAAGTCTTCGGATTTAAATGTTAAACTCAGGCATTCGATTCTCCTCGATGGACACACGTGAAAGCCTGATGAGGGTTTGTTATAAGAAAACAAACATAATTCTATACATTTTAAGACGGCACTAGATATAACACTTGTAGCGTGGCTGACATAGTCACCTTCATGGGTTTATAGAAACAAATAGACTATAAATGCTGAGAGCTATTCTATACCTCTAATTTGCAATTATGAAACTTTTTATATTATTTTAATAATTTTAGCTCTGCTATTGTTTCAGACTAATACACGCAACCCCAATTTATTAATAAACAATAGTGATTCTACCTATTCTTACTAAACAAAATTGGGCTTCACGTGAAACTTTTCTGTTCTTGTTATTGTATTAATTGAACTTTTGCACCGATCTTGTAATTACACGTTTTTAAACAAACAAAACTTTCTCGATGATAATATATAGAATACGCGATCATGGAGGTAAGCACAGCTTAAAATAAAGGATAGATTAACTAATTTTGACACATAATATAACGGTGGAGTAATCTTATAAGTTCGTGCTTCTTTTTTAAAATTCTGTGTGAAACACGAGATTGTCTCAGATAATACTGAACATTAACCCTAACCACACGTATAGAAATGAAATAAGAGAATATCAGATACTATATGAATAAAACTGAGAAAGAAAACTATGGTGCTAAGATTTGTAAAACATTTACAACACACGGTGTTTAGGCTGGTAAAACATTTACAACACACGGTGTTTAGGCTGGTAAAACATTTACAATACACGGTGTTTAGGCTGGTAAAACATTTACAATACACGGTGTTTAGGCTAGTAAAACATTTACAGCACATGGTGTTTAGGCTGGTAAAACATTTACAATACACGGTGTTTAGGCTGGTAAAACATTTACAGCACATGGTGTTTAGGCTGGTAAAACATTTACAACACACGGTGTTTAGGCTGGTAAAACATTTACAACACACGGTGTTTAGGCTGGTAAAAGCATTTACAACACACGGTGTTTAGGCTGGTAAAATATTTACAACACATTGTGTTTAGGCTGGTAAAATATTTACAACACACGGTGCTTAGGCTGGTAAAACATTTACAACACACGGTGTTTAGGCTGGTAAAACATTTACAACACATGGTGTTAGGCATGGTAAAACATTTACAACACACGGTGTTTAGGCTGGTAAAACATTTACAACACACGGTGTTGAAGCTAGTAAAAGATTTACAACAGATGGTGTTTAGGCTGGTAAAAAAGTTAAAATACACGGTGTTTAGGCTGGTAAAAGATTTACAACACATGGTGTTTATGCTGGTAAAATATTTTAAACCAAGAAATGCTAAACACTGTTAGGTTGTCATGATATAAGAATACGTTTGTAATGGTTCGAACGAGCTGATTCTGATAACCTAGTTTTATATATAAAGCTTTACAAGTTATCAAATAAACTTTAGGACTGTCAGAAATATATAAAAGACTAGACTAAATTCAGCCCACTTTTAAACCTGCAAAGAGATTTAGCTCAAAAAACAGTTAATGATAAACCATGAAGTTTTGTAGAACACAATTCGAAAAGGCTGTCAGAGTTTTATGTTTATTGCGAAGACTGTAAGATAAGTACGTTTACAAAAGAGAGAGAAAAAGAGTGATGCTGCAACACTCCAAACGAATGACATAAGAATTTGATTTGCCTTATTTTAGTGTAAAGCTTTACAGTGGGCTATCTGCGATCTGCCGACTGCGAGGAATCGAACCACATATTTTAGCGTGTAAATCCTAAAGCTTACCGCTGACCTACAGTACAAAGAGTTTCGGTATTTAGTTATACTATTTTAATAGTTACTTCTGTGCAAGTTTGGTGAATATCAATACGTCAGGCTTAGCTAAAGCTCTTAGGTTTTTAATTTATACTTATAAGTTTTTATTACTGATACTTTGTTTGATAATTTTTTTTATAGTTTGTATTTTAAAGTATTATATCCATATCGTAATTAATGATCTTTCAAAAAAAGAAAAACTTATCTAAAACAACAACTTATCCAGATAATTTATGTGAATTTGTTAGAATACCAGTATTATGTTGTAACTGTTAGGATACCAGTATTATGTTGTAACTGTTAGGATACCAGTATTATGTTGTAACTGTTAGGATACCAGTATTATGTTGTAACTGTTAGGATACCA